TTCATATATTTACATACAGGGTATTTGCTAGTCTACTACTCTAGAAAATACCACTCTCTGCCATTCGTAGAGCATCTCTTAATTGTTTTCCAATTAAGCGCATTGAAAGTTTTGTCAATTTAAAAACTTTGATTGCTTGTCAACTTTTGCAGATACCCTTAGAGTTCCATGAAAGTCTCATTATAAAGAGATCTCGGCCAGAGTTGAGCTCTCCATAATGCACTTATGCAATCAGCAGTCGTCAGTCGGCAATCGGCAATCGTGAAGCGTATGCTAATTGCCGTGTCGATTGGATAATTGTTTTTCGTTGTTCTTGATTTTTTTTCATTTCTTTTTTTATTATTTTGTTCGGCCCAGTGCAAAGCACTTAACAGATTTGCATCCGAGCCGAGGTCGATTCGAGGTGTTGCAATCTCAGAAGTTGGCATACTATTTAGCGCAACGCTCAATTTGATGGGTCGATGTAAATTGTAAAGCCTCGAGATATTTTTTCACAGGCATCCATATCTCATGTGCCTGCAAAACGTCTCAATTTGAGTCCATTGATCGAAATAATTGGCGTACATATTTCGTTTTCTGTTTGTTATCTTAATTGGTTTGTAGTGGGGCAATTGATTGGCTTTGATTTCTCTGCGAGAGGAGAGATGAAGATGTTTTAGAGAAAAGTATAGTAGAGACTGCTTGTAGTACAAGTTGTTAGGTCGATTTTTTATTACGCTTGTCGCTTGGAAGACCAAATGAGATGTAGCGGAATTAAGAGAAAGAGCTCTGAGCATTATATCTATAATTGAGTAATGAGTAATATATTCTGTTTCCATTTCTCGATTGTCCGCGAAGTTTGTACTATAACGAGTTTTTACAAAATTGCTGAATTAGAATAAAATAGAAAATACCTATTACACCAAGCTCTCATGATAATGCAGCATAGAGGTGAAAAAATTTATTTGGCACACATCTGAAGGTCTGTAACAGCAAGAAATTTGTTTTCTTCTGGAGAAGTTTCTATGATTTGATTTGTTCTATGTTCAGATTCGATAGAGAAGTGAATATTATATATTATTTATTTAAAGTAGTATATTCAATATACATATCAATATTTCAAAGTAAACTAATTTTAACTGATATATGATTTCTCTGAGATTTCTCTATCGCTTGATTCGATTTATTTTTAGTTTTCAACCTGATGATATTTCTAATAAAGCCTGTCGAAATTAATAAAAAAATTAAATAAATAAAAATAAAATAAATTCATTAATAATAATGCTTTATTCAGTATGAAAATTATTATTAAACTATTCATTTTTCAACTGATCAAATTATAACGGATGAAAGCTCCATTTCAAGAATGATGTATATTATTAAAATTTATATATCCGCACATAGGGTGATTTGAAAAGCTCAGATGATCTGAATCAAATGAGATTGAGGATTTTAGGCTGTCAGGTTTTATATTGATCGAGAATTTGCTTAATGCAAATTCTTATATATGTGTGTGTTTTTTATTATTATTTTTTTTAACACATATTTTTTATTATAGCACATATTTTCTGCTCTACAGAAAGTTTTTTTTTCTAACAAACTTTTGTTTGAAAAGTGTTATATACATATATTTACATACAAATACATACATATTATCTGTATACATACATACATAGGCATCACGTTCAGTCTCTTTTAATCTCTTCTCAGCCGTAGCCCTATTTCTTGTTGCTCACTAGCTAAACAACTCTGAAAAGACTTCGCGCTGGAGGCGTGTTATGTGTTTAACTGAAGGAGCAACACAGCTTGCAACTAAGTAGGTTACAGACAAAGCAATCGTGTAACAGCAGCAACAACAGCAACAACAACAACAACAACAACAAGAAAATTGTCTGTTTTGCAGCCATGTTGAATTGTTTGCCGCCAACGCCCACTTTGTGTTACCAGCTAAGCCCGGAGCGGCACTTGTCGTCGTTTTTGTTGCCTGCCTGCCTGTCAGCCAGT